TCTACGACAGGTTTCTATGCTTCATTCACATCAGCAAGCAATCCTTCTAGTCAAGGGAGCTGATTTAATGGCAAGAAAAATTTATTTCCCTCTGGGTAGGTAGAAACAGTTGGACTCTAATTCTTAAGAGCCTTTGTTCAAGAACATCTGGGTTGAAACTACTATAGTTAACAGATGATGCCGGCAGTAAAAAAAAAAAAAAAAATAGGCTTTGTGTAATATCGTTGTCAAATTTGTTAGACCTCTACTTAATAATTATCAGGAAAGCAATCTAACTTGTTATTACAACAGCTTTATTGCAGATTGCTGGCTTAAGACCTTTTTGTGACAAGTGGCATTTTTTTCTTAAAATAAGTAATCTCTAGTCCCCTGTAATTATTTTCCCAACCAGCAACTTCCTACACTCAACATATTGGGACATTTTATTTTAGAAGCTAAGAATAAAGTTCTTGCTAACTTACGGCTGCTTTTTTTCCTGTTTATCACATTGTGAAGACTTTCTTTCTTCTTTCTTATACCCTGACTCACCCTAAGCCTCCTTTCTCATCCTGCTCTAGACCTATATATGATGAGGTGCCCTAGACTGAGGCAAGCCATAAGAATGACCATAGGGATTGGTTGAGCAAAGATTATTTTAGTTTACCAAAAAAATGGTGTCAAATGATGCAAGTAAATATTTAATCTCAGGACATCAATTCTGTGTGGTCTGAAGGCATATTTTTGGGAATGAACCCCTTGTAACAGGAGCTGTAGAGAGTCCCAGATATAAATGGTTGCCTGTATCTTACAACTGTACTTACATCGTGGCATAGTGGATTGAAGGCAAAAATTAGATACCCAGAGCATATCGCTACTGTTACTCCTTTCTACATCCTTCTTTTCCAATCTTTCTGCTTCTAATAAACAACAACTTAGGAAGTATCTTATTTTATCTATACTCGCTTCCAAGGCTTCTCAACCTAGGCTTCCCTAGTTTGCCACTTTTACTCTTCCGTATCATTCCAGCAACTCATGAGATTTTTCTTCCCATTCATTCAGACATTTATTTAATCATTGAATGCTTGCTCTTTCACTTTACAAAATGCCAGAGGGACAAAGCATGAGTCTTGCACTGAAGAAGCTCAGTCTAGGGGGCAGAGAGATGAGTAAACAACTGATTACCACACCACACCATACACAAGCTCCCCTTTTTACTCGCCTTAGTCTGCTCTTCCCCATTGGACCCCAACAGAGGTTGGATCTCTGCTCCAGCATGAAACCCAGCACCCTAAAATTGGCCAATTCTCAGTGGCAAAAAAACTCTATAACGAAAACCTGTGATTTTAACAGAGAGAGACATAGTTCTGTTTTCAGTGTAAATTGTAAATTATTCAAGATTCATGTTTTGCAAACATCTGGAGGATACTGACCAGAGGACAGATTAATGCCTTGTTAGGGGACGGGCAGTGAGTGACAAAAAGTGAAGAATGAGGAGGTTTGAGATGATAGGGTGTGTTGGGGACTGTGTCACAATGGAGAGCACATGTCCCATCCAGAGGGGTAAGTGCTTCAAAGCTCCAGTCCTTTTGGCCATGCAGAATATGGCTTCAGTGTGATCACACCTGATTGATCAAGGAAGCCTGAGAAGCTAGGTTTTAAATGAACTCACCTGTTAATATCACCGAGCATATCACTGCTGTTATGTCTTTCTACACCCTTTCTGCAGTACAGTTTTTTAAAAATGCTGTACTGACATGTACAAACAGAACACATCTCCATGTTGGGCTTCTGGCTTCATTTCCTCCACTTTTATGAGAAGCATTTGTGCAACATGCTGAACTGAGACTGGATTTCAACTTTTGGCATTTCAACACAAAAGCTGGTTAACCTGGAACAAGTTGCTTGATATCCACTTTTGTCTTTTCTGTGTAAAGGCCATTTGACCTTGAGCAACTCTCTGTCCCCCCTTTGGACCTCAGTTTGTCACCTGTATGAGAAAGGTAGGAGCAGGCCATCTTGAAGGGCCTGAGTCCAAAAATCTATAGTTGTGGCATTGTTTGCTTATACCACTTTGTTTACATTCCTCTGTGCCTCTCCTCTCTGTCCTTTTGGCCAGTGAACAATGGCCTGCTGTGGGTCAAGAGCTTCTTAAAAAGAGGCTTCTACAAGGCAGTAGAAAAGCATCTTGGATATGCATTTGAAAGTTGTGAAAGAGGACTTAGAGATCTGCTGGTCCACTCCCTGATAGGTTAAAGAACATGCACAAGGCCACTTAGATTTATTGATTTTCCTGCATTAGAAACCTCCTTTCTTTTCATATCTAGTTCGTAAATGGTATTGTAGCTAGGAAGACATAATTCACCATTACTGTGGACTGTTTCTTTGCTTCTCACCATTAGGATCAGATTGTTAAAGCAATTAATATCTTTGATCCCGTGAACCATCCAAGTCCCAAATCAGAGAGGCCGTTGCTCACAGGCTATCAGCAAATTGACTTCTTCCTGATCTGTGCTCAGATCAGCTTTCTCCTTGAGTTTTGGCATCTAGCTGATATTTACTTTAGAGAGTAGTCACTTAATCTGGTAATTTGATTCAACAAATATTGCATAAGCCATCTGATATTTTAAACAATTTAAGCTCCAGAAGTAACAGCCCCATAAAAAGGTGCATGGTAGCAGTGCTATATGGGACATAAATTAAGAAGAGCGTTTTTCCAGCTGTAGTTGGATATGTGGGCTGGTGTTTTAGCAAACTGCATAATCAGCACAAAACCCAGGTCATTAGAGTCTGCTGGCAGGAATCAGAAATCCTGCAAATCACTGGCAGAGCCCAAATGAGCATGAATGGAAGTGGTCCTTTGAAATCTGACTGTGTTGAAAGTAATAAGAGGGACCTCACATGAAGGAATGAACAACTGGTCTTATTTCCACTGGAAGCATGAGGCCTTACCGGCACTTTACCTATAATCAGTATATCCACAAGGCCAATATATCTGGTTATGTTGCTTTTCTATTTAAGACCAACCAAAAGCCTCCCATTCACTTAGAATAAACTGCTGTGGCTAGCAAAGTCCTCATGATCTTGCGCCTGCCTAGCTCCCCAGCCTAATCACATCACTCTAGACTCCACTCAGCTGCAGGCTCACTGCCCTTATTGCTGGTCCCCAAACACCCCAGTTTCCTTTCTGCCACTGGACCCTTGCACTTGCTGTTTCCACTCCCTAGGAAGTGCTTTCTGCAGATCCTCCCATTGCCTGCCTCTTCTCATCACGCTCCAGTGCTCTGTGCTCACATCACTTGCTCAGAATAGTTGTCCTGGGCCATCGCAGACAACACACCTTTCCGGATATTCTTTATCCTCTCAGGCTGCTTTGTTTTCTGCATAGTACTTGTCCTCATCTGCAAATTGATTATTATTTATTTGCTTGTAATTTGCTTATTGCTTATCTCTCCCAATACAAATTAGACTTCACCAGTGATGCAGATGTTGTATATCCTGCCAGGTACTAGCTGGGGACTTTAGGCAAGTCCCATAGGCTTCCTGAGCTTTAGTTCATCACCTGTAAAGTAGAGGTAATAATAGAAGTCTGAATAACTGGGATAATATCGCCCTCTTAGGAATATTGTGGGGCTTAAGTGAGAACATGAAGAAAGGCACTAACCTATGACCCTTACCTCCTCTCCCTTAATGTTTTGGAGTTAAATAACCCCCTACTCATTTCTCAATCTATCAGTCCAAAAAGTCCTTAAAACATAAGTGATAATGCTTATTGTAGAAGCTTGTAATATATAATGTATATAATAATTTTTTTGTGTGAGCCTGTATTTCTATAAATATAGAAGTATGTATTTCCAGCTAATTGTGTCACATTAGTTACATGTTTGTATCTATATAATTTTATTTGTTGATCTTATACCTGGAAATAGTCTTCAAAAATCATTTTGAATGCTTATACAATATACCATACTTTATTGATTATTGGACATTTAAGTTGCTTTTTGTTTTTTTACTCTGGAAAAATAGTTCTACTTTGAACATCTTTGAAAGCATAAATACTTCACTGGGTCTTTTATTATTTTCTTAGATCAAGCCCCAGTAAGTGGAAATCATTGCTTGAGCTTCTCTGTCTCTGTGGTTTCATGCACGGCACTGTGAAGAATTCCAGACAAGTCCAAAATCTTAAAGAAACTTGCACTGGTTGAGGAGACACATGAGACAATAGGGACCAAGCACAGCCAGTATAAAATTGACTAAGGGCCAAGTGATGTGGCTGGAGACTAGGTGCTGGAGGAGTTCTGAGAACAGAAAAGCAGAGCATGGAAGTAGTGCAGAAACCCTGCCCGGAAGGTTAGATTTGACGTGGGCCTGGGATGATGGGTTGGGAGGATGGAGATGGCTTTCCAGGGGTCAGGGACCACATGAGTTAAGGCATAGAGGCAGGAACGGAAGAGCCAGGTTCGAAGCAGTGAGGGCTGCGGGCGAGAGCACTGGGCCTACGAGGGGAGGCAGCTTGGATGGAGCCAGGAGTGACAGTGCTGTGCTCATGTGCTAGAGGCTAAGGATTATTACCATCATTCCAAGTACACAGGGGTCTGCTCGGAAAAACAACATGAACCATTTGTACAAAAGACCGAAATGGCATCCAAATAACAGGTCCAGCTGCTCCAAATACCTCCCTCCCCCTGCAGTTAACGTTTTACTACCTGAATGAGTAACTGATGAATCTGGCCCAGCATAAATCCCCAGACACACATCCCTGCTTGGGGTCTGTCTAGACATCCAGACCTGAGTGCAATTTGCACTTTGAACATTTAGTGCCTTATCACTTGCGAGAAATCAGGTTTAATGGGGAAGATGGGGGTTGCCGCTCCCACCCTACTCCCTTTGGCTCAGTGACTGTGGTATGAGGGTACCTTGCATAATGACGGCATTAACGGAGTTGGAAAGGTCCTAACAGTGTTTGCCGCGTGGCTCTGGCCCTTCAGAAACACTGACTGAGAGCTTTCTCCATCTCATTGCAGGCTGTGTTTTGTGAAGCTAAAGCTCCTAATGATAGCCATTGAGTACAAGTCCGCCAACCGAGAGAGCCGGTAAGTTTGTGGTGACCTTGCGGCCGGCTGACATTTACGATGGTGAGAATTCACCTGGAATGCTCTGTCCACTTCTTTCTTACACATTATTTATTTGCTTGGGACCCTGATGCAACACCTCCCTGACTCTAGGGCCCACTTCAAGGATTGCTGAACCAGACAGTGCTGCTTCTATCCCAGCCCCACCTGGCATAACATAACCCCACTGGGCATTTGAGAGAGTGTTTCTCTAGGGGCAAGGGATGAGGCAGACACACCTCCCCCCGATCATGCCAACTTGAACTTTTTACCTTCTCAGCATAAAACCAGGAACAGACTCTATCCTAAAAATCTTTTCTACTGCTGTGAGCAAAAAGTAGGTGGACTTTGGCCTCCTTCACAGCAAGCCTGGGACAGAGCCGTGATAGGAGATACCAGCTCTCTTGATGGGCAAATTACAAGCAGACTATTGTGTACCATATGTGCTTCTCCCGGTGCAACTGAAATCCAGGTGGCAGAATATCAGCTTCATGTAAATTAGCCAGGAGAGCTGGGCTCAGAGGCAGGAGCCCTCTTTATTTATTTATTTTGTACTTAATTATGTGCAAATCAGACTGATGAGGGTCTGGGTCTGGCTGAAATAGATAACACCCCAGTCAATATATGAGTTCTCGCCGGGAGATGGAAGCATCGTGTTAACAAGGGATTTTGTTGATGGAGTACTGTATGCATTACAGATAAAATACAGATGATTTTTGCTCCCCAAGTCTTATCAATGGTCTTGGAAGAAAGAGAGCTTATTGAGAAATGCTTGGGCATTTGGCTTCTGAAATAATATCCATGGTTTGTCCCTAGCTATGGTAAATAAGTCTTCCCGTAGATGCCCAGTATAGAGTATAGATACCCTCTACCATATGCCTTAATAACTGAGCAGAGTGCAAGACAAGACTAGAAGGTTCCCTAAACCATCATTTAGGGAGTTTTAATTATCTGGATGAATGACTGAATAAAGCCAGACTCCAAATGTATAGTCTGTGTCTCTATGACCAAAAAAACACTGGATTGTAAGCAAGTCAATCCAATGTTCTCCATTACCTTAATCACCAGATCAGATTGCTCACAAAGGCAATGTGATCAAATGTCAAGCTGTTTTGGAAGTCCAAATCAACCAAAAGCAAGAAAAAAAATGGTAGATTTGGTGACCACATGTAGAACATGGCAGTAGCAGTTAACGAATATGTATATATACATTTTTCTTTTCTGTTTTGGGAAAGTGAAGAATATTATTTGCAAAAAACTGAGAATCCTGGCTGTTTACTGTTCAACAGATAAGGTGGATGTTTCTGGGATTGCTGTTTGGTCATGTTATTGCCAGTACTCACCTGTACCTGTGTAGGGGGAAACATACATCCTCAGTTTTTGCAAATGATATTCTTTGTGTTGCCAAGTCAGTAAATCTTTATGTAATTCAGTGTTCTCTCTTGATCACTTCAGTGCATCTCTCAAAAAAGTGTTAAGATGTGGGTGATGCTGATGTGTTTCTCAACCCTTCTGGAATAATGTCATGGCAGAAGACTACCCCTGAACCTTGACCAGTCACCTCCCACCTGCCACCTTTTTGTTCACAAAGAAGGAGAGAGAAAGGCTGTTAGTGGTTTGGTGTGAGTCTGCTCTCCCCAAACTAAGAAAAATAACTCAGAGCTTTCCCTAGAGACAAAATCTTGTCTTTGATGGGCCTCCAATTAATGCACAAATCTGACATATTTTCAACAAAGCCATATTTATAGATGTAGATAGTTTTTAGATTTTTTTCAGAGAAGAACGAAAAGAAGTTGTTCTGGCTTTGTTTGGGCTTTCTCTGTGCACTTGCCAGCTTTACTCCTCAACTGTGGCTTGGTCTCGGTGTGGAAGCACATTGGTTCTTGTGGAAAAAGGTGTGTTTCAGGGAATGTGGATCATGCCTTTGAGAGAGCACGAGATTTATCCAACATGATATCCGTATTGAAAAAACCCATGTTCCTGACCCTGAGATAATAACTGTGATCTTTTTCTTCATTGAAAAGCTTCCCATTTCCTTTCCCCTCCCATTTCTAAGTGATCAGGTGTTCAGTGTGGAGAATACTGCTTCTCCCTTCCACCTCCTTGCCTCCAGCCTGTGTTTAACTCCTTTGTTGTTCTATTACTCATGATACTGTTTCCATGCTTTGTTGAAAAGCCTTGTTTTCCCCTGTGCACCCTTCAAATAATTTGAGACAAAGGTTTTATTTCTTCTTTCCTTCTGGTGTCAATCAATTTATTATCAAATTGTTTGATTTTAAATTCTTTTCTTGTCGTTCTGCAGAAGCCGAAAGCGGTATGCACTCTTCGTTAACTTGCTTTCCAACCTCACCCTCTATCTTCACCTCTCACCACAGGACTAACTATTTGCCACGAATTCAGGGAGATAGAGATTATATCTATGTGTATATGTATATATGATCTCATTCCCTTGTCTAGTATATACATATATATTTACGTATATGTATATTTATATACAAACCCCTCTCCAACTAGAGTACATAAAAATTGAAACGAAGATATTGCTTTGATTGTTTGATTTGTTGATTCTTTTCTATGACGCACTAACTTCTTTGCAGGAAACCTAAAAAACTCAAAACAAGGGCATAATCCTGTTTTCAATCATGGCGCTGATGGTGGGAACAAAATGCTATGAAAGTTGAAAAGGAGGACAACTTCTCTCTAGCCCTTGGTGTCTGCTTCTGTCCTGTTCTGATGTGTCTCGGTGTCCACCAGACTCTGTGGTGCCATTTGTCTATGTGCCACATCCACATTCCCGGTGGCCTCTTCCTCCCTGTGTCTGGTTTCCAGTTTGTAGAGCAGAACTCGTGTCCTTTATCCACAAAACAGAGACCAAGCCCTTACACTTAACTCTTTGTCCTTAAATTGACTTTGATGTTACCATCTTGTGTATTTTCTACCTTGGGCAGTACTCAGTACAGACTTAGAACCCTGCCACTAAACTTCCAGATTGCCACGTTTGGTCTAATGAATGAGTACTGTTTACTGAGATGAACTCATGACTTTATTGTTTCCTGGTGTGTTTGGGCATCTGTCTTACTGTGAAGTTTCTCAGCTTTGACCATGTGACCTCACCCTGTTTTGCTGCTGTTTTGTGTTGCATGTAGCATGACCATATCCCCATACCGATAACTTTTATTTTGTGTATCTATTTGGGTTAATATTTCCAATGTAGTTTTTCAATAATGTGTGCCTTTGGGCAGTATTCTTGAAAACATACTATTGAGATGCCTACTTGTTCATCTTCTCCAGAGTTGTTTTTCTCTGTGGTTGTAATCACTGTCACTTGTCTGTATTTGTAGTGTGTGTGTGTGTGTGTGTGTGTCTGGAACTCTTTCCCAAGTCAGACTCTTCTGTGACTTCTCGAGTAGGTGTGTGAAAATAGAGGTGGCTTCCTGTCAGTTTGGTATTATTAATATGATCCAACTGCAAGAAGTTACTGCAACACTTTGCATCTCCAAAGGTCCACAGTGGTTGCACCTCTGCTGTTGGCTTCTGGCCTTTGAGTTCTTTTATCCTGTGGTGAAGGCATGTTGTGATGAAGGCATGACTTGTCCTAAAGTGTGCCAGAAAGTGACATGGCTTGCTCCCAGAGCCAAAGATCCAGCATTGTCCTTCCCAGATGAATTCCTGCTTCTCCAGCCCATAAGGCTACTATTTTCCTCATATGCAAAATGCATTTTAAAATGCCATTTTTGTTGAGATGGACTCAGGCTTAACAAGTCCTTGCCTGTATCACTGGTGGACCACAGTGGTGGTCATTTGATATGACCATCTGGGAGCAATCTTTATTATGGTGTCTCTGTGTAAGTGAACTGGGCTTAAGTATATGGAAGCATGGAATACACATTGTGTCTCCTACTTATATTCCATAAGTAAAAGTGTGTGTGTCCAGTTGTGTGGGACTCTAGCAGCATATATTTTAAAGCCCAGAAGAAATGAAAAGTTCCAGAAAGGCAATAAGATTTGAGATTTGGGGGTTTCTGTAGGCTGTGCCCTAACACAGCCCATAAATGGAAGGGCAGTTGTACTCTCTGAGGGGAAACAGTTGGTTCAAAGTCCCACGCAGTGACAGTTGTATATGACTTTGTGTGGTCAAAGAGGCCACTTCCCAGTGACATGATTCATCTGAGCAGAGCCTGAACTGAAGACTTAGATGGCTCTTATTCTCTTGCTATAGTCAATGAAGTCCCATTAGCTTGCTAGACAGAGATATAATTATATGTTATCAAGTACAAATTATATTCTCATGTGAGTGATATTTTTGTAATTGCTCAGGGAATGGTACATTACACCTACCCAAAATTGAAGGGAGAGGAGAGAAATACCCACCTGTCATATTTATCCATAATGGATAAAAGCCTTTAAAAAGTCTATTTCAGTTGAATTACTGTCTCCCAAAACAACAAACAAGAAAAGTTTATGATGATTGAAGAAGGAATAACTAGGTGCTTCCCAGATGTTATGCATAAGTGGTGGAGAAAGGGAATGTATCATTTTTCCTCACCAAGTCCCAAATCTCCAACCTGACCAAGTTCAGGAGGAGATACGTCATGGAATGTGTTACAGCTTGAGGCCTGGAGCTCCTCTCTCTCCTGGAGGAACCAGACAGGGACATTTCCCTTTTGGACTGAGCCCCACTAGCCAGTTCCATGTGAATATGTTTCATGTTTAGGAACACGCATTTCAGTTCTAATGAGTGGTGTTTTCAATATTGAAATCATTTGCTCCAACTCCCCCAGTGGCTAGCCATTTATGTATTTTTATGTTTACATATTTATGCTTACTGTGTCCAGGAGATTGTTCGCTCATTATCCACCCCCCTAGCGGAGGCCTGGCTGCTCCTTTGGTAAGCTTGGTCTCTGAAAGAAGAGCTGTGCCTACCTTTCTCCCTACTAGAGAGGAAAAGAGATGCTTTTGGAACTGAGACCAGTGACTTATGATTTTCATTCAACAAATGGTTGAAAAGTGCTTGTGGCATGTAGGGCTCTAAGCTGGCTACTATGAAAAACTTATTTACAAAAGTAATATAAGATCATGCTTCTCACTCCTTTACTCAACAATGGGTTCCCTACAGAAAATATAAGAAAGAAGAGCTGTGCCTACCTTTCTCCCTACTAGAGAGGAAAAGAGATGCTTTTGGAACTGAGACCAGTGACTTATGATTTTCATTCAACAAATGGTTGAAAAGTGCTTGTGGCATGTAGGGCTCTAAGCTGGCTACTATGAAAAACTTATTTACAAAAGTAATATAAGATCATGCTTCTCACTCCTTTACTCAACAATGGGTTCCCTACAGAAAATATATGTATTTGCTCCATGTAGTGCCAAAGAGCCAAAGAATAAGTCTACGTACAAAACTAGTCTGAGAGCAAAGGAAAGAGAACAAGAATCCTTGGAGAAAGGACCACCAGCCCTTGGCCTCCAGCTGTCACTGAATGTTTTCAGTTGAAATTAGCAAGGTCATAGAAGAAAGAGGATAATTTATAGGTTCCTCAAAATGAGGAAAAATCCGCCCCTGCCAAGAAGATGTCCCTGTTGGAATTCTGCTAATTGATATATGGACTTTTTTCTTTGAGATTTTCTCGATTCTTCACATGACACATCTTGAAGTTTATCTCTGATAAGCTAGTGAATTACACAAAACTGGAGCCAGAGCCTGATTTAAAGTGATGCACACAGAGGGAGGCTTTTGGCAGTCATAAGAACAAAACAGACTTAACACTGAATATCCTTTTAAAAGATCAAAGCCCTTTGGAAAGATTTACATATTCCCATTAGGAGGTCAGTAACATATTCTAAGGCTAGTAGGCACCTCGCAGGGGGGAAAAGAAGTTACTTTTGCCTAGGATCCTTATCTTTTTGTATATTCAAAAAGAAGATGAACACTTTATTTAAGCTTTCTACATTTGGAATGTGGATAGAAAATGTAATGTCTCAATATCAAAAAATGTAAAATACCTCCTCAAAAAGTCTTTGAAACTTTGTACCCTTACATAGGGAGTGTTATATGCAGTGGTCCCCTGGAACTAGGGGCACATGCTTCTTTACCAGATCCCTAAATATGTGAGTGGAATCCAACACAGTAAGCATTTTTATGTGTCTATCTAGATTTCTTTTCTCCATTATTCTCAGAAGCTGGACTTTTTCTTTTGATTCCAACTCAAAGGCTACCTTAGCCTAACCTGGTTAGCTGGAAACCACACAGCCTCACAGCTCACAATAAGAGAAGATCTGAAGCCGCTTACCCCGTCTGAAAGAACAAGAGGGCATCCAGGAGTCACGTGGTCAGTGACATCTTCAGTGGTGCTTTTGATACTTTACACAATCAGCCATATGGTCTACGGAACAGAGAGATACTCCTCTGTACAAAGGCCTGTTCAATCAGCCCATCTCCAGATGTTGTGTAAGGACGAAATGTTTTGGAGATCTCAATCAGTAGAAAGATCTTCTGATGCCAATAGGGTGCTTGCTGGGTAGTCCACTAGCACTAACGGCACAATGGATAGCTGTGATGCCGTGAGAGATGATCTTCCTCTCACTTAGTTGATGTAACAACCTTGTTTATTATTAAGAGTGGCCATGTATTAAAGGACATACTACATTCAGTCACTCGGCGCATACTATGTGCTTTAATTCTCTTAGCAACACTCTAAGGCAGTGATTATTCACCTCATTTTACAGATGAAGAGAGAGGCTTAGCTGCATCCATATGCCCAAGACGAAGATCTGAGTTTGTGGGCCTAACCCATGCACCTGCTCACTTTACTGGCATTGACAGGACAGTGAAGCTGAGACCTGAACACAAATCTATCTTACATCAGTGCACAGAACTGCTGCTCTCCACCACAGCAACTTGACAAAAGCAAGCTTGAAGGCTGTAATAAATAATCTGAACCTGCAGTCTCTGGACTAACAAATTCGTAGTGTAGGCCAGTTCTTGTTCACTGTTGATGAAGAACAGAGGAAATGAAAAGAAACTTTTCATCAACAGGAACCTTGCTAGCACTGTATTTCCAGCATGACACTGTGGACTTGATAATTGCAGTGCAATTAATGAGGCACATAATGTAAAAAAGGGAAACAGGGTTGTGTGTGAGGCTTGTTTTGTGCATAGGTGTCATCAAGACATGGATGAGTGTCACATTTTCCCTTCTGAATGGCATTGTTGAAATCATGATAGTACTTTTTCACTCAGAAGCTTTTTTGGCACTCTCATGAATACATATCAAAATGGAGACTTTTCCAACTTTAAGAAATTAGCTCCTTTAGATTCCAGAAATACCCAGAATTTTTCATGTATGTCCTTGCACATTATTCTGGAGTATACAGTTCTTAACCCTGCAACTTCACCTCTTCATGGAGAGGATATTTTGACAATAAACCCTGTGTTCCATTCCATGGGGCCACTAAAGAAAATCTGATAACTCCATTGAAAATGGAACACACTTTTGGCTCTTGTTGTGATAACAAATAATAAAAGTAATAACAACCAATATGCATTGAGCCCTATATATATTATCTCACTTTATCCTCAGAAGAAACTATGATTATCATCACTCCAATGTTATAGATGAGGAAATCGAGTTCTAGGGAGATTTAGGAACTCGCCTGAAGTCAGACAGCTACTAAATGGCAATGCTGGAATTTGGACCCAACTTCTGACTGCAGAGCCAGGGCATGTAAGAACTGCCTTGCAGGAAAGGGGGTAATAAACTCTGCAGAATCCAGAATTCTGCTTTTCTATAACATTGCATTTAGATGACTTTGAAAAAGGAATCCATGTGAACTGTACAGGCTCTGACCCTTTCTCATGATCCTGAAAAATCTCAGGGCCTTTACACCCACGTGAAGACTTGGCAGCGGGATAATTAGGAGGTGCCTTTCCAGCCTGCCTGTTGCAAGCTGGGGCTGTAAGCATGGCCTGCTGCTTCCTGATTTGCGAAGAATCTCACTGCTGCCTGTGGTTCTAGGACAGAACAGTGGAGTCTTCTTGGACTCTTGCTAGTACTGAGTGTTAATAACAGTGATGACACAGGACTGGTTTCCTTCTGTCACGTCTTGTTATGGGTAATAGTGGATGTTCTTGTGAACATAGACAATTATTTTGCAGTAATGATCTACTCTGAGTTCTCCGCATAGAACAAAGGTTCACCTGGGTCCTTGCTATATTGCTACAGACACATCACTCTGTTGGCCACAGCACTTCTCTAGAATGGTTTTACCAGCAGTAAGAGATTCCATGTTAATTACCATCCTCCATTTTGATTGTTTTAGGCAGTTGAGGACTTCCTTTAGCCTAATTCCAAATGTCTATTACCTTAAGCAGCTTTTCAGATCAAAGAATATCTCTGCTATCTCTATTGCTTTATTTAAAGTGCCTACATTCTGTGTCCAGTAACCTGAAGCTTTATCTCAGTCTCTTTATTCTGAAAGACATTTCTGTATTCCGCTTTTGATCTGCAGAAAATTAAACCTGTTTGATTCATCCATCTATTAGATTAGGATACATTTATCTCTTCTGTCAGTCCAGACACAACTTGGTCAGCTAATCTGTTTATACTACTCTGAAATAGGACAATGTATATATTAGGTTCATACTTCTTTGCAGGGGAAGTTTTTCTAGGGATTATTTACAGTTGTTTTCTAATCACAGCTTGCCCCAATCAGGATGTACTGGACACATAACCTTTTTCAAAGCCTGCCATTCATTTTTGTAAACCACGGAGTGAAATTATTAAGTATTTTTAATGGCTGGCATTTTTCTTTTTCACTGTTCAGGTAGTCCAGTTCTTTCTACATAGGCGGCACATGGAATCCGCTTCCTGTCTTTATCAGTGTCATGCAGATGTTCTGTTTGCTTCTGCATGGTTATGGGTGTCTTGTACCATTCCCTGCAGTAACATGTGGTGTGTATACGCATATGTTTCTGTATGCACATAGGGGTCCCATTAATGCTCTGTCATCTGACAAATGTTAGGTTGATGTAGCATTAGCTTGATTCAGCCAGTAACACTCAATGTTGACCATCAACAGCAGTTTCCAAAGGGATACATTATTAGGAACTTTGCTTCAAATCAGAAGTCCATGGCAACCTCATTATACAAACCCGGCACTGAAACCTAGATTTGCTGGCATTTCTGCAACAGGAATATGCCAGCCTGGGAATGGAGCAGCAGAGCTTTGTGAGGACATTATCTAATTAAATGTGTGGGACAGTGGACATTAGGCTCCAGACAAGATCTTTAGGCCAAGCATTAGAGTAGCAGGCCCCCTATAAAATTAACAGTACAGTGTAGCCTTCAAGGTTTTATCCAGAACACAATCTGACAAATGTGTCTTCTTTGTTTCTTTTTGTTCACTGAGCAGTATATTAATTAATCCTGGAAATCATCTTAAGATCCAAGAAGGTACTTTAGGATTTTTCATCGCAAGTGATGCCAAAGAAGTTAAAAGGTAAGAGTTTATTTTCACCTGCCTTCCTTTCTGGCCTAGCCATAGACATCTTGATCCACGGAGGTGTGCTTGCTTCCAGTATGTACAAGGCTGTAACCCCGAAACTTCTTAACATGTGTCCATTGGTACTGAGCAGTGCCGAGTCTTAGGGAAAAGAGACTGTGCTTTCAAATGCTTCTATGTACCCTTCTTCACAAAATCAATTACACGTCTTTGAATTAGATCATAGTATTTTAGAACCATGAGGACTGGTTACCTGCTCCTTCGTTTTCCAGGGGAAGAAAGGGAGTCCCAGAGAGCTAAGGTGATTGTTCAGAGTCGTTTTGATTCTTGATGACCCAGAACATAATGTAGGTCAGCTGGCTCCTTGTCTAGTGCTTCTTACTTAATATGATCAGTGCAAATTTACTCAAGAATTATCAGTTTTCTACTTTCAGTGCCAAATGGAATCTCAAACAGTTTGGATTAATTTCAGATGAAATACTAAACTAGCTATACTTCTACCATGGCCTTCTCGGTAAGTGCCAGAAGTCATCAGGTTCAATCCTTAAGCTCCTGTAGGTGCAGCTCAGGATTTCCCTGGTCTCCATGTTTTAGGACATTTCTGTTACTATCCTTAGACCTGTTTAAACAACCTAGGAAATCATAGGTTCTTTGCAGAGCATCATGGAATATTGTTATTTGATTCTACCCTATGCACTAGGAAAAACTTATTAGAAGAAAAAGGTGACTCAAGGTCAGGTTACACAGCTCAAAATAATGTTATATAAAATATTTTAAATAAACTACCAATTATGAAGGTCTATGTTTATGTAAGGCTATTGTCTTCATTTAATGAGTTCCTCCTCAAAGCTAGGCCTGTGCTATGTATGGGTCTACATTCTGTATTACCACCCCTAAAAGTAATCTTAAAGGTAAATTTTCTAAAAACACTCAGGGCTTTGGTTTCTTCCTCTATAAAACTGAGATAAATGATTTGTCCAAGGTCACATAGCTTATAAGCATGTGGCAGAGACCAGGTTGGAACTGGTCTTTCCTTTCCTAAAACCCACCCTTCCTACCAAATTTTACTTATACCACCAAATTTCTATGTAGAGTTTTCTCTGTATTGGCACTCTTCTAAGTACCGGGTACCGGGTATTGATGAGCTCATTGAATCCTCTCAAAAACAGTATGAGATGTGTACCATTACTCTTCCCATTTTACATATGAGAAAACCGAGGCACAGATTGGTTAACTCCCTTGCTCAGAGCCACACTACTCCTGAGTAGTAAAGCCAAGGTTTAAAACCAGGAAGGCTGGTTCCAAATTCTTATTTGCCAAGTCATGCTGAGCACAGAACTATGATGTTTAACAACTGATGCTTATGATTACCTCCTTCCTCTTCATCCGCTCTTGCAAACTAGCCAGACTCGCTGTAAAAGCTTTTAGGAAAAATAAAATGGAGTAGAGAGGCAAAAGAAAAAAAATCCTTAAAACCAAGCTAACGACTGAATTTACTTTTGCAAATTGGGAAAGGATTGCCATCATTCAGGTGTAAGAGAGGAAAACCTCCCTCTTCAGCTCCTGGGTCCTCACTGTCCTTTAGGAGTACCCCACAAACCAGGTTCACCTGAGAGTGGGGTGGAAGCCCCTCAGGTCCTCTGGAAGAGAGAGTTGTGCTCATGTCTAGACTGTGAGACACAAGAGCTGGAGGCAGCATCTCAACACCACGTACAGGGGCTGGGGGACACGGGGGCACTGTAGATCACATGTCCCTACCAGAGAGCAGATATAATATGAAGCTCCCATTTGTGTAATTCTATTTCCTATTGCATCTCTCACTAATGAATGTCACAAATACCAGGCAGTCCAAAAAACAAATTACCTCCTGTATTAGGGAGTGCAATATGTCTCACTTCAGTGTTTTATGGTATTCACAAATACATGCTGACACAGTCAGCCTCAACACCAGCCTGTAATTTTCCATGGTGTGTGAGGTGTCAGAGCAAATGTCGTCAGTTAGGGGATTTCAAATAGATGAAGACTGCAGAAAACCACAGAAAACACCTTAGAGATTTGTATGTAACTACACAAGTTTTGTAAAAATGGAAAAGTAGATTATGATGATCTAGTATTGAGTTTGCACCTCCTGCTGCAAAAAAGCAACAAAAGAAGTGAGTGGATTCTAGCTCACAGAATGTCTCAGATGCAGTGTTTTAGGAGAAATGAAACCACCCAATTCCAGTCCTAGTCATTTTGGGACAAGCATTTGTTCACTTGTCCTTTACTCCTTGCCACTAAATATTTTCATTTTTAGATAAACTTGGAACATAGTCTTTAATGTAAAAGTCACAAAATGATGCTTTGTTGACTGAGTTTGGCTTGCAGACATGGTTCATTTGAGTCATAACTTTTAAAAAATGTTGCTGAGATGAAGAAGTCATAATCTTATATGTAAAATCTCTAATTACTAATTTCCCCTGAAAAACTTGGAGTTCCAGAATTACTGGGTATTATTCTCATAGTAATGCATTCATCAAATGCCTGTAGGTCACTCACTTTCTAGAACACTCTGCCCTAGTTGCCTGGAAAAGAATGGTGAGCAGTGGGTGGAAGTTAAAGCTTTCTTGGGCTCATGTTCTAGGGAGGAGAGAATTGCAGTTTTGTTTATTCATGGTGCAAAGAATTAATGCAGCTGGATCACTGATTAAGATTGGGTGTAAGTGAAGGATGCTCTGTGGGAGTGCCATTTGAGCCGAGATGGAGGTGATGGGAAAGAATCCATCACACAGAGATCAGAAGGGAAGAAGAGATATGGTGGGAACAGTTTTGTGCTCAGAGAACCAAGGGAAAGAGTATCTGAGGGACTAGAGTTGTGAGATGAGGTTCGAGAGAAAGGAGGGACTGGTTCCCATCAGCCTTCCTACAGAGGCTGGAGTTGTTATGAAATGAAGTCACTGATGATTTTAAGCTGGGGGTGATGTCGTCTGCCTTACATTATTAAAAGATCTTTCCATTGTACATCCAGCATTGAAGAGGATGGGATATGGTGGAGCAGGAGCGGAGGCTGAGGGATGGGAAGAATACTGCACAGTTCAGGTGAGAGAGTAGAGTTTGGGCTAGATGGGTGAGTAGAGGTGTAGAGAAGTGAGACCACTTTAGAATATATTTTGGAGAGTCTGTAGGACCCATTGATGAACTGGATATAAGACGTGAGGGAAAAAAGAAGAATCAATAATGGAGCCTAGATTAAGAGCGTTGCAATTGGCTGGAGGCTGGAATCTTACTAAGATGGGGAAAACTGGAGGAGGAGCAAGTTTACGGTGCTAGTAAATTAAGAATTCCATTTGGTTTGGGTAGTGTTAAGTAGGCGATGTATACTAAATGTACACGTGGAGAAGTCATAAAGGCAGTGGGATCTAAGACTTTGGAGTTCTGGGGAAAGATGAGGGCTGGAGATGTAAGCTGGAGTACTGTATCAGTGAGCATCCTGGGAAGAAGCAGATGGCACACTTAAATGGTGAAAGGAAGGTGAGTTTTAGGAAGGGACTGTATGTACTCGTGGGCAGAGAGCTAAGGAAAACCAACAAGGATGTGAGAGCACCCCAGCACTAGCGACAGAGGGGAGGCACTCTCAGTCCTAGACCTGCAGTCGAGGGGAAGGAGGGCTGTTGGAACCTGGAGAACGAGGTTTAGTGCAGGAAAGGCTGTCTGGCAGGATCTGTGTCCTTTAGAGAAATGTTGCCCGTTTCATGAGTTTGCTGGGGGAGGGGAGGGCTTGTCTCTTCTCACCCCCCAGTGTCCTGGCTCCTCCCATTGGCCGAGCGCAACAACCAGAGGACAAGGAGACCCTAAAGACCAGTCCTGCGGGACGTAGATTTGGTCTTCTGGATGATGTGCATGTCAAAGCCACCAGCCTAAGGCTGCTTGGGGAAGAGGTGCGGTGAGCTGGAGAGGAGGTGGAGCGGAGAGCAGAGAGCACTGAGGTTGGAGGAGGAGGCACGGGGTGGACCCTGAGGAGGGTGAACAGGCCTCTGGAGTCCACGGCCTTGGACTTAAGGTGAGGCAGTGAGCACAGTCAGCTTCCTTTCCTCAGCTCTGGGGGGCAGGTGGAGGTGTGCAGTAGGGCGGGGCGGCTTTGCCAGGTGAGCAGGAGAGAGGCAGAGATGCGTGGGCAAGACAGAGAAGCGGCATTTGACAAAAATCAGCTGGAGCTTAGATACTCTGCCCCTTCCAGCTGGGGGACATATCTCCAGGGCACCACAGACCCCCACCCCCACTCCATTTCACTCATTAACTTTACCTGTCTGGTCATTTTCCTTTCAAAATCCAGCTTTAATTCATGAAGTAATCACACTTTATCTTTTCAACAGTCCATTCAGATTCATTATCAGTTCATCACCTCTTTAGTAGAGATGTGTTTAAGACCTTGGACTCTGGGGCTAGACTGTGTGGATTTGAATCCCGGCTCTGCCATTCTTAGCTGTGTGACCTTGGGCAGGTCACTTAACCTGTCTGTGCTTCAGCTTCCTTTTCTATAAACCATAGATAATAATTGTACATCCTTCAAAGGATTGTTTGAGAATCAAAGCATTTACTAATACTTATAAAATGCTTAGGATAGTAGCTGGTGTATGGTCTGTGCTCTATAAATGTTGGCTGTTGTTATTGTCATCATTACTATGTGTAGGAGCATCAAAGGGAGAAAATGGCCAAAGAAAGTGAAAGCAAAATTGCTCCCACCTTTCCTGTCCTTCCTCTTGCAGGGCAGGTCACCACTGGTTGGCTTCTTAGCCACATTGCCACCTCAGGGCAAACAATCAGCTATCTTTTCTTCTTTTGCGACATGGATGAGAATTGGCACTTAAAGAGATGGTGGATGAGCTCCTAGGTTAGAAAGGGCATTGGGCTTGCACTTCGAAGTCCCGGGGCTGGCCAAGTCCAGCACAGGATGCATTTGAGCAGGTCATGGCAACATCCTCGATTTACAGGTGAGGACACTGAGTCCTCGGGGACTCAGGGATCTGGTTGCAAGGTCGCGAAGAACTCTTTCAGATGCACAAGTCTTAACATTGATTTACAGCCAGTGTGATCATAAATGCATCCTGTGAAAAACATGAAAAGGAACCTAGGATTAAAATGGTCACGAAGTGTGTTTATTTCTTTATAGCCCTGGTCAAGAAAGGCCCTGTTTATCCCTGGTATTCAATTTCACATTGGGAGTGGTGAAGTACAGTGTAAAGCCAGGGATTTTGTTAGTCCCCATATCCAGAAGTTTGTAAGGCTGTGTGAGTTTTATCCCGGTGACCCCAGGATGGAAAGAACAGGCCTCCAGTGCAGGTCTAGGCCCTGTGCGTTTTAAGGAGTGCTTGGGCCATCTTACTGTGTCTCATCCAGATTACCTTTGACATAGCCGATGTACCTCATCCTCATGTACTGACCCAAGTCAGAGGAGGGGAATTTCTTGTTGATTGCTTCCTCTGGATCTCCTTCTATCCACCCAACCCTGTAACACCCTCTGCCCACCCCATTCTAGCAGTCAGCTGAGCTGTGCTCCACAGTGAGAAGAAAACCTTCCTTTATTACGTGTTCTTAAGGCTGGAGGGGATGGGAGTTGGTCCTGCCCCTTTGGGAGTGAACATAGGCTGTGAGGTCCCAGAAGGAATTCAGCAGAGGACCCACTTGCGTTGTCACTTCTGTTTTTCCCTGCACACTGTACTCCTCAGCCTCTCTCTCACTTTGACTGCAGAGAAATAGGGCTTTCAAAGCAACAAGGCTACTGTTTTTATCTGACCATGGAACGTCACCTTTGCACCCCCCCCTTTAGTATATATTTGACCAGACTATGAGATTTCGGAGATGTACTTAACTCCCCTGCCAGGGGCCCGGGTCTCAAGGCCCACGTGCTCTGGGGAGCAGCCCTCAGTGCTGTTCATAAAAATGAAGGGCGAGCGAGCAGACACAGTGTGTCACATCAGCAACCTTTCCCCCAGTTCCTGTTCAAATGAAAGTTTATTAAAAGAAGCACTAACTCAAATTGCAGAGTCCCGTGTTTGAAATAAACCGTCTTGCAACAAACATTTCCGTCTGTAAATGTCTAAACCTTTCAGAAGATGAAAGGAAATTAGTGCTGGCGTGTTTCATTAATTTGGCACCACAGTGGAGGAAATGTGGTACTCATTTCATTTGGGTGGATTATGAAACGTGTCAGTGTTTCCATTCTCTTTCTCCAGGGCATTTTTTTACTGCAAGGCCTGTCATGATGACATCACAGATCCCAAAAGAATTAAAAAATGCGGCTGCAAACGGCGTAAGTAGTGTTTCTTTCCCCTTTCCCTCCCTCTCTCCTTTCCTTTTCCCCAAATGTGTTTCCCTCCTCCTTCTCCTATTAAAGAAACACTAAACATCAAGAGGTTTCTTGAATATGTTTATGTTTCACCCAGCAGTTTAAAGAGACATGAAATAAATACCTGTCCTCACTTTATTAGAGCAGAGGATGAAAAATCACCACCATCAACACATAACACATAGGAGTGAACCTAGTGCCTAATCCCCACTTCTTGACTAAAGGGATACCTGTGTAGATGTGTGCAGTTGCACATAGTAAGTATGGTGTATGAAAAGGAGGGCAGCTAAGACCATGGAGGAGGGAGTGTTTTTGCATAGGGATGTCCCCTGGACGGGGGACCACCAGCTGTAAAGATGGCTGTACTAGGGGCTGAAAGAGAAACTGAGTCTGAGGACTCCGACTCCCAAATGGGAGCTGACTCTTTTTCATTTTGTGATTACTGCAAGTTTTGGTGCCAAAGCCAGAGTTTTCAGCTGTGATGCCTTTACACCGGCCCGAGAAAAGAACTTGGCCATCACGATTGGCCCCCTTTGCTATTATTGTCTCATTAACCAGCCTCCAGCATCATTGCTTTTTTGGGGTAGACTAGATTGGGCTAGTGACTTCTGGCTATCCAGTCTGAAATTCCCTCCAAAGCAGCTCACCGGTGGGGCCTCTTCTGAAAGAGACGGACGGTAAGCTTCTGAGGAACCAGGACTTGAAGTGGGCTTTGCCCTGAGAAGGCCATGCCTTTGCAGTAATTATGTTGCCCTGCCTAATAGAATCGTTCACAACCCTAGAGAAAACAATAATGACGCCTTCCTTCCTACCGTGATTCAGTGTTTTCAAAGCTCCTTATGACCATTATTTTCTCTGATCCTCACCGTAACTTTTGTGTAATTGACAGGGGGTGTTATTAATCCCATTTTATGAACAGAGAACAGGAAGGCTCCAAGTTGAGTGGGAGGATGAGAGTGCTGAGATGACACGGAGCCCACAGACGAGGGCTCAGCTCACCCAGGGGCCGTCCGGGATTCCGGGTTCTCAGGGACCTCATTGTTCTGTAAGAGAGGGGAGGGCAAAGTGGATGACCTTGGGTCTGATTAATATAAGCAGTCATGAAAGATCACCCCTGAAATGCTTTCTCACAAGCCAAAACTGGACAGAAGCGTACGTTCCTGAGCTATGCCGACTGAGGCAAGGGCTTCTCTCACTGCGCCCCTAAAGGAGGGCACAGTAACTGTGTGATTGATCACTCTGCTGGAGCATGGAGACATCCGTCTTTCGGACAAACACCCCTGGGGAGCACATGGTCTAGGGCCATTTCTGCAGACATCTCAAGCCGCTTCCCAATTTGGGGGCAGCTCAGGCCCACTGTTTTGCTCCGGGCTTCTCCATTCACACCCATGACCACTTCCCCCCAACTCCAGCCCCTTACTGAGGTGGTTGTTTATCAGTACCTCAGGCAAAGAGACTCTCACTTCTCGGGGCCTAAGAATTCTCTGATTCTGACAGCCTCCCAGGAAGACTCCCCATCCAGTCTTCCCCCAACTCCATGACTCAAAAGGCCCTTCTCACCAGGGCATCTACCCCAGCCCTGCATGGTTGGTCATGAACATACAAATACAGGCATCTCACTGGTCATTGCCATTAGAGGGAACACACCATCCTGAGTGGTAGTAAACACAAAGGAGTAATACACATAAAATGCAAGCAGGTGAGCTCTTTGAAAGGAAACTCTTGCAGTGGAGGAGGTGGGAAATGCAGAGGAGGGCTGAGGCCAATAACCCATGGCTGGATATTTGCCGAAGAGCCTGGTCCCATGGGGGTCTCTGTGAAATCCACCTACGGATTGTTCATGCACATGTTTTTAGTACCTTCTTTGTGCCAGGCGCTGTTCTTGGTGCTAGGGTTGGAGGGATGAACAAGATAAAGTTCCTGCCCTCTGGAAGCCTTCACTCTAGTGAATGGAGGCAAACAATGACCATAAAACAATTAATAAATTCATAAAGTGATAAATGCCAAGGGGAGAGAGGAGACTGCTGGAGGGTGTGAGGAGCCATGTAGGCCCTCTGCTTTAGCTGGAAAGGTTTGGAAGGCCTCCCTTGAGAGGTGACTTTGAAGGCAGTACCCGGTCTAGGCAAGCAGAAGAATGAGGCAAAGGCCAAGAGGCAGGAATAAATCTGTGGTGCTGGAAGAAAGGAAGGCCAGTGGGAATGGTGGGACTGGGGAGAAAGTGGCATGAGATAAGATGAGAGACGAAGGCAGAAACTTGGGTTTTAGTTCTATAATAAATATAGCCATTGGGAGATTTTGAGCAAGGAAATCAAGTCAATTCCTATATTCAATGCTCTTCCTAGTGACTGGACAGAGACAAACTCTAGGGAGGCCAGAGTGGAACTGGGAAGGATGATGGGAAAGCTTTTCTGACTCCGGCTCTGATCGTGGAATCTCCCTCAGAGGCACGTCAGTGGGATCCAGCAGACAGGTTTTAAGTCCCTAGAAATGAGAATTTGGCCTTTAGGATATTTTTCCATCTTGGTTCCAGGCTAGCAAACAGCAGCTGACTTTCCCTTCATCCTGGAGAGAGGGGCAAATAATTGTTTGAAATGGGTTTTTTCTCTTCATTTCCCTTAAAGATGGTTCAGCTAGTGAAGCATACAATCTCCCATCATGCACAGCACAGGTTATGCCAAAGGGATTCCTCTCCAAAATCAAGCCATTGTGACAAGGGTCTTGCTCCCTTCTCTCTGCACCACCCCCTTACCCCAGGGGCTCCTCAACTCGTAAAGGGCCTGAGCTGTGGGGTTAATATTTGGTAGCAATCAGAATTGTCCAACTATTGTTTGTCCCAATTAAAAGGTCATAGAAGCCTGTGTTACAGAGGGCAGAATGCAAATGTATATGTGTCAGGGGTGGTTAGAATAAAGCAAATTATTAACCATGACCCTTCTCATGCACATGCCAGGCAAATTAGGAAATTGAGGAAGATAGGTTTTAGTTGCAAAGACATTTTCATTAGGAGTGAGAATTGTTAATAGTTCATGGGGGGGAGGGGTTCTTGTACCTTTGAATATATATTGCCTGGTGCCCTAAGTTGGGGAGGGAAGCTGATCCCACCATCATTTGTCCAAATCTGTTAGGCCAGATATTAAGAATTCACCCTGGAATGTTACATCTCCATGAAGGCAGAGCTGATGACAGTCACTGCTCTTTATCCACAGTGTCCTAAGCCTCCTCCCCTCCCAACCAGGTCTTCCTGTTCCAACCCCTCCCTACCACCCCATTCACTTGCAGTCAATAACCTGAAACGTTTTATGTTGTACTATGTGGAGAAATATCGAGTGTGGACATTCCGTTTCTGAAAATTTTGTGATATATAGGTTAACTGTTGCATTTCTTTCCACTTCTTCATAGCACTCCATCAAGGAACAGAGTCAAATTCAGCTGTCTGGCCAAGGAGCAAGCTCTCAGAACCTGCTACTTACCCATCATCTTTTTCTGTATAACAAACCTGGTCTAATGATTTACATTTCCTCCCCACCAGCCTCTAGACATTTGCCAATGGGTGGACTCCTAGGGGACAAGTCATGTCTAAATTGATGTGTTTGAAGAAATTTTCCTTAACTTATAATAATTGACATATTTTTGATTTATTTTTTTTCCCTTTGCTGCCTTGGAATACGGCCCCTACTCTATTTTAACTGCCCTCTGGTAGTGATATATTGTGAGTAAAATGGGTTCCCAGCAGCCCTGAGTCCAGTGCCCCTGTCTTTCTCTAGAAGAGAAACTTCTTTTATTTTCTGTACAGTTTCAGTTTTTTTTTTTCCTCTTTTGGTATTTATGTTGCATGTAGCAGTGACATCATGCCCCAACGCCCTCATCTAACACGGTCTGCAGAGTAGCGTGGAGCTGAAGAACCCTGAGAGCAGGGAACCCCCTCCGTTCATCCACCCCACCCCCCAGCCTCTTGCCAGCTTCTGGTACTGTCTTATTTTTCCATTTGAAAATAAGACCTTGACAGCAGTGTTTCTCTTGAAGGCCATGTCTCAGGACCTTCCGGGGACACTGAGTAGGCTGAGGTAATTACCACTATAGCTCTCGATGCCTCATCAATTGGGGGTCATTGCCATGCTTTGCCTTTGATAAATTATACTTGGTCTCCTCTGCTCTTGAGCTTGAATTCCTATCCTGAAGCAAAGCACATGTGCTACATATATATTCCTGGGTTGTGATATATATATGATATATAACAGTACTTTATATGTAAAAATGTACATTTTTATATATAAGTGTTGAAGTATTCTACAGAGAGAGTGATGTATTTCTTACAATGTATTTGCCTCTCTCTATGAGAAAGTGCTTGCTAGAGAATTAATTGGACGCCAAACTTTGGGACTAAGTATCTAACTGCCTTATTGGAGACAAGTATTTCCACAGTGGTAATTATTTCCTACAGTCTATGAAGTTCCCTTGCTTTACAATAAAGTTTCTCTTTCAATCAGGATCCCCTAGGACACACACAGTTCCTCCCTGGGTATTGGTTAGGCATGTTGGAAGATCCATTTACTTGTTCAAGGTGGAAAAGATGGCTCAAGGAGAAAGTTCCATTTCATTAGCTATGTAGAAGTCTGAACAAGTAAAAGAAGTCTCTGAACTCCTAACTTACTCAAGGAGTAGAACCCCACTCAACCAACAAGATGTGGCAATTTTAGGGCCAGCATTTCTGTGTGTGACTTAGAGCCAGGCTGCTTTCGACTGTACCAGCCACAAGCATGGGGTCCTCCCTCGCATACAGGGGCCCACCCTGCAGGGCAGTTTAGTCCAGAGGCCCTGGAATTTGGAGAAGATGTCTCAGCAATCAGTACTCTCACGTTCCAGCAGCCAGCTTCGTTACCTGATTTTGGCTAGTCTTCAGAGTTTGAGGGTATAGAAGGCCCAATGTACAAAAAAAACAAAACAATGACCTTCTTCAGTTCAAC